ATTATCTATGTCATAAGTCTTATTTCTAAGTTTCTTTTGTAGATTAGTATGCATACCATAATATTTGTACACTGGTCGCGAGCATCCCCGATTTTTTAGGTGGTAAATTTTCTCATATTCCTATGAGATTCTCACTACTGAAGGACCATCAACATGAAAATCAAAATTTTATTTGATCTAACAACAGGAGTTGGATCTCCAATCATGTTTCTAGAAAGTGACTCGCAATCGATTCCAAGACAAATAGTATTCTTCATCTTCATATGATAATTATGGATTAGGAATGGCAAACTAATACTTTCACAATGACCACATTAATTTGGACTCTACAATTCAAATTTGTAATTTTATAAATGTTGTTACTTTTTCTGAGGATAATGGTATTTGGGTGCAAATACTCAAAACACATGATTAAGGATTGACAATCTTTGTTTCAAGACAACATAATGTATGTCTTTGAGAACTTCAAAGTGAGTCTGCCAACAACATATTACATGCCAATTTCAAACAAATCGGTGATCACGATCTAATCAAATACTACACTCCACGCTTGCTATGATATTCTGACAATTTAAGCTTATATATAAGCTTGATTTCATCAAATATGATAGAAATTTCAAATTTGGCTTTGAATGTAATTGAGAGAAGAAGAAAGAAACTATTAATTGTGGAAATATGTTTCATTAATAGAGATAAATGTGATGTTGAGATGGAAGGAATATGATGACATGACACTCAATAGCGGAGATTACTCGGCGGTCATTACTATTGAGTAAAAGAGGAGCCGCCGTTGGCGATGCGACACAGACCTCTGTGTCGTTGCGGATCTTAGGAAGAACGAAGGAATGATGACAAAGGGAGAGCGAAATCAACGGTGGAGACTATAATTGATAACCCTACTTTTAATTATAAAATTCAAACATATTTGTTTTAATTGACACGGTGAGGATGTGTCAAACATGTGGACTGACGATTAGCTTCCAGGTAACTTTGTTAAGGCTAATATTTACTTTAACGGAAATGGTTATAATTTTGTAGTGTTATAAAAAAAATTGGGATCATCAACGAATCTCGATATAAATTAATTATTGTTGTGAATTTTGAGATGTTTTGCTTGTTGTCTATCAGGATTAAAAAAAAAGAGGTGTATGGCTTTGCCATTTTGGGGTTAATTGTGATTTAGGGTTTCAGCTAGATGGGCAATATAAGCTTAAATTGTCAGAATATGATAGAAATTTCAAATTTGGCTTTGAATGTAATTGAGAGAAGAAGAAAGAAACTATTAATTGTGGAAATATGTTTCATTAATAGAGATAAATGTGATGTTGAGATGGAAGGAATATGATGACATGACACTCAATAGCGGAGATTACTCGGCGGTCATTACTATTGAGTAAAAGAGGAGCCGCCGTTGGCGATGCGACACAGACCTCTGTGTCGTTGCGGATCTTAGGAAGAACGAAGGAATGATGACAAAGGGAGAGCGAAATCAACGGTGGAGACTATAATTGATAACCCTACTTTTAATTATAAAATTCAAACATATTTGTTTTAATTGACACGGTGAGGATGTGTCAAACATGTGGACTGACGATTAGCTTCTAGGTAACTTTGTTAAGGCTAATATTTACTTTAACGGAAATGGTTATAATTTTGTAGTGTTATAAAAAAAATTGGGATCATCAACGAATCTCGATATAAATTAATTATTGTTGTGAATTTTGAGATGTTTTGCTTGTTGTCTATCAGGATTAAAAAAAAAGAGGTGTATGGCTTTGCCATTTTGGGGTTAATTGTGATTTAGGGTTTCAGCTAGATGGGCAATATAATTAATGAATTGTCCCAAATATATTGCAGATCTCGATCGACCGAGTGGCTTTACTTAATTTGAATGACAGATGCGTTTACCATTTTGGGCTCACTCTCGGCCTTCCTACAAAATGTACATTGGTAAAAAAAAAAAAAGGAAATGTACACATAAAATATACTCAAGAGACCGGCTGCAATTAAGTTTATAAAGACCAAAAAGGCCTTCCGAACTGTGCGCAGGAAGAAGGAAAAAGTGAATGAGGTAGGTTTCGAAGCGGAACCTCCATATAAGAGTTGTTTAGATTTAGATCGCGAGCATCCCCGATTTTTGAGGTGGTAAATTTTCTCATATTCCTATGAGATTCTCACTACTGAAGGGCCATCAACATGAAAATCAAAATTTTATTTGATCTAACAACAGGAGTTGGATCTCCAATCATGTTTCTAGAAAGTGACTCGCAATCGATTCCAAGACAAATATTATTCTTCATCTTCATATGATAATTATGGATTAGGAATGGCAAACTAATACTTTCACAATGACCACATTAATTTGGACTCTACAATTCAAATTTGTAATTTTATAAATGTTGTTACTTTTTCTGAGGATAATGGTATTTGGGTGCAAATACTCAAAACACATGATTAAGGATTGACAATCTTTGTTTCAAGACAACATAATGTATGTCTTTGAGAACTTCAAAGTGAGTCTGCCAACAACATATTACATGCCAATTTCAAACAAATCGGTGATCACGATCCAATCAAATACTACACTCCAAGCTTGCTATGATATTCTGACAATTTAAGCTTATATATAAGCTTGATTTCATCAAATATGATAGAAATTTCAAATTTGTCTTTGAATGTAATTGAGAGAAGAAGAAAGAAACTATTAATTGTGGAAATATGTTTCATTAATAGAGATAAATGTGATGTTATTGGTTGAGATGATAATGTTGTTAATGGTGAGCGATCGAAAAGAAGTTAAAAAGAATATTTGTAGTAGTCTTTGACATCAATGAGTAAATCAAAGTGTGATTTGATTATGTTTTTTAAGAGCGAGTTCCATTTAATGGGTTTACTTCTTTACTTTAAATAAGAATTTAAATAAGAATTTTTGTTGATACATATGTTAGGAGAACATAAACTTTATGATATTATTTTTATTTTTTTATACGATCATTTTGATTTTTTATGGTACCAAATTTAAATTTAGATTGCTTTGTGTAATTCCTATTGTTTTTTTTTTTTTGTCATAGATATTCTCAAAGGGAAGAGCGGATACATATTACAAAGAACACGACCTTTTCAGGTCAAACCAACAATAAGAAAGGAAAAGACCTTTTCAGGTCTTGACGATAATAGGATCTTGATACCAAGAAATGAACAGTCATATAATTCCGATGGTTGTTTATGCTAGGGGTGGGCATCGGTGCGGTCCGACCGCACCAAATCGCACCGAACCGCATATGCGGTCAAACCGGATCGCACCGTTAAGCTTGCGGTCAAGTATGCGGTCTATATTTTATACGGTTCGTGGTTTACGGTCGGTTCAAACCGAAACCGCTCGGTTGCGGTTCAAACCGCAAACCGCAACGAAATCATGTCATTCAAAACTTTACCAAGCCGAACCATTCCACAACTAGATGCTTTGCTGCCAAGGCTGATCATACCTCTCTGGCAGCTTCAGTTAACAAAGCTGCAAATTCCAATATACCGATCCAGTTTTGTCTTTAACATCTGTACTTCTTTTGCAATAATTCTTCCACAATTAACCCGAAACAAAGCTGAGATCCACGAGCAACAAGAACAAACTTTTTATGGATATGACGTACACCAACAGAAGGGCTTGAATTGTGAAGGAAATGATTTACTATTTCGCTAAAACTATAATGAATTGACAAGGAAGAAGCAGTTGTAGAAGTTGCTCTTGGAATAATGAACATATCAGCTGTGTAATGGTGATCAAGAAAAGACGACCCACCAACATGAGATTGCAATTTTAACTTCATTCCTTCTCCCTCCCTTTGCAGGTTCAAGTCAGTGTAAGATCATTCCATGATTTTGACAAGTGACTTGTCTGTCATGTGTTTACTTTAGTGCATCTGTGCAAATTTCTTTTATGCTCTGTTTTTTGTATGCTCTGTTTTCTGTTATGAGAAGAAGATGGACTTCTTTATATTGCTCCAGGAAAGCATGCTCTCTTTAGATTTATCTGTTACAATATTGGTTTAATTTGTTGGGCCTCATTTCTACAAGAAAGTAGCATTGCCTCTGTCAATGGTAATTAGTACAGTTCAACAGATTCGAATAGGGAAAGACAATATCTATTTGTTTCATTAAGAATTGTGGTCAAACATGCGGTGCGGGCTAAACCGTACCAATCCGCTAACCTATGCGGTTTGGTTTGACCGCACCTAGGGATGTCAATCCAACCCGTAACCATGGGTACCCTACCCGACCGTAACCGGTCAACAAGGGTAATTACCCGCTTTGACGGGTTAAGGGGCGGAAACGGGTAATACCCGGTTTCAAAATAAAGGGTAGGGTATGGGTATGGTAATCGATAATACCCGCCCCGCTAATCAAAGGGTCAATTTCCCTTGAGAAATTTAGTTTAGCTTGAGAAATATGGTTTAGCTACCATTATTGATGATGAAGATGTAGACGATTATTATGTTTTTGTGGATTGTAGAAGCAAGAACAATTATTAAGTTTTTGTTGTTTTTATTTGTGTGGATTGTTGAAGCTAGAAAAATTAGAAGTATTGAGAATTTTTAATGGACAACAATATGTATGTGCATATATGTGTATAAGTTCATAGTTTAGGATTCGTATCCATGGTTACCCGAATACCCGTGGTTACCCGGTGGGTAGGGTATGGTTATATAATTTTCATACCCGGTGGTTATTTGGTCGGGTATTTTAGAAGGCTCTATCCGGCGGGTTAGGAGTTGGTATAGGGTAAACCCGCACCCGACCCTACCCATTGCCATCCCTAACCGCACCGATTACATTGCGGTCCAACATGCGATGCGGTCCAATTAATATGCGGTGCGGTGCGGTTTATATCAAAACGGTACAGTGCGGTTCGAACCGCACCAATGCCCACCCCTAGTTTATGCTTATTTATGAAATACCGGGTGAACTCAAATATAGTTTCTTCTCCCAATCGGATTTGAGTGTCGGTAACATTTTCCTTTTCGGATATGGTTAAGTTTGTAGTTATTATATATGTGAATTGATCGGTAAGCCAGACAAACAATTGGAACCAAAAAATTTCAATTTCCTTTTCCGGTTTTCCCTTCCAAATCCGCAAGCAAAAGCAGAGTCTTCTGTCAATTGGTCTGAGCCATGGCGACGGAAAACTGCACCGCGGCTTCTGATCTGGCTCTCGGCGCACGGTTCCGCCCTGCTCGAGTCTGCGGAAAACGACGCCTCCGTTCAGAAGTAAATCCTCCTACTCCAGCGATAAGCAAACTGGGAGACGATCTCCTCACAGAAATTCTGGTTCGCGGTTTCCCGGATCCTAGATCCGCCTGCCGGAGCAGAGCCGTATGCAAGCAATGGAGATCCCTGATTTCCGATCCCTGCTTCGGTCGCCGCTTCCTTTCTTACCACCAGAGCATGAACAAACACCCTCCTCCCAAGCTTCTTCACTCGACTGACACGAAATCTGTCTCACTGAGCTTTATCCCCTGGCCCGCCGATTGCGCCTCCAATATACGGTTGGAGCTGGCAAGTTTCGCAGTTTTTGATTGCTTCAAGGACCTGCTTTTATGTGGCTTTGGGGAACTAGGTTACCGCCATACTAGTGCTGAACTTGGCAGAACGTACTTGCTGTGCAATCCGTTTACGAAGCAATGGATGGCACTTCCTTTGGCCCCTGATAGACCAGTGGGGCATTCGGGATTGCGTGCAAGGTTAGTTTGTGAACCCTTAGATTCAAACAGTCTAATTTTTAATCTAGGAGGTGGTACTGAGTATCGATTCCGGGTGGTGTGTGTATACCAAGATGCGAATTCCATGAAACTAGATGTGTTCTCTTCGGAGTCTGGAGAATGGACCAGGGAGGCGTTTGTTCTTGAAGGTTACTGCAGACCCAAACTAAACAATGTTGTTTCATGCGACGGGGTTTTGTATTTGTCGTATGTTAGAGCACAAAGCAACCATGATGGGTTGTCTGAACCTTTGATTGCTGCTATTAATCCTTTCCGCCTTGATATACCTCCCACTCCTATTGATGTTTCCCCAGTCTCTGCTAATAATCCGTGGTGGGATATTTCAATTTCACAAGGTGCTGTGCACTTGATTGTGTTTGAGGAGGGCACTAGACCTGCTTCTTCGAGGATTGTTTTGAGTGTTTGGAGGTTAAACGAAGACTGTAAATTCTGGAGGAAGGTATGCGCAGGTCTGGTCAAGTCATCCTCAGACGGTAATTATCAACCCGAGTCCCTTTATGTTCCTATGCTACATCCAGAAAAACCGGAAACTGTCTTCTTCACTCTTAGGCATTCTTACTTGTCCTGTGATTTGAGCAGGGGAGGGCAGCTAGAGTTCTTCGCTAAACTAGCTCAACATTGTAGTGGTTGGAGGGTGTTCCAGACTAAGGTCTCTTGCTGGCCTACTCCAATTCCAAAGTACCAGAAGTTGCGAGTTAGGTACGATGGAATCTTCGACTGTTGGGATCAGTTTGATGAACCCGAACCAATAACTCCCTTGATAACTGGTACTTATGTTACTTCGACTTCTGAGAATTTGCCTTTTGAACAAATAGAAGAATGGCCACCCGTTAACATTTAACGGTCAATTGTAAAAGTTGACTGCCACATAAGCAAAGTTAACGGAGTTGGACGGAGAGTGACCGAGTTTGAACTATTTAACTAATTTTAGTGACTGCGAACGGAATTAAATATTTTTAGTGACCAAACATGAACGTTTTTTGTAATCTCAATGACCAACCATGCAATTTACCCTTTTAAAGATTGATAGTTTGAATTTTGATTCATCAACAACTCCATACAACTGACGCATCGTTGAACTTTTATAAGGGAGAAAGGTCATCGAGGAAATGATTTATATGTTTAGTCTTCTCTCTAGCTTGTATTCTATTTCCTTTGTTTTTTTTTTAAGTTCATCTTCATTCTCCTTTTTATGGTTTTCGAGATTAATCGCAGTTTTGAGAAAGTTCAACTCACTTTGATTAGGTCGAATTAGGTTGAATGCCCATGTCAATTCTAAAATCAGTTAAAACTCGCTCTCTTTACAAAACTCGTCAGCATCTGATCCGGGTTCAATTTTCATTCTCAACCCAAAGGAAAAGGAGAAATACAAAATATTAAAGCAGATAAAATGCGCTCTCGATTAAAAACTCGTCAACATCATGTTCAACTCGCTTTGACCGGGTCGAATCGAGTTTTCAATAAATTCACACTCGACCCAACCTACCAACTTTAAAATCATATAAAACTCGCTCTCGATATAAAACTCGTCAATACCATGGGTTTGGTTTAATTATGATTCTCAAGGAAAGGGAAAAAATATAAATTTAAAAAATACTAAAAGCGGGTCCAAAGTCGCTTGGACCTGGACGAATTATGTTGGATACCATGAGTTTGAGTTCAATTGTCATTCTTAACCAAAAGGAAAAAGAGAGATAAGAAAATACTAAAGAATATGAAACTCATTCGGGAACACAATGCAGATTTGGTATGAATTTTCGACAGTAGTCTTGGGACACGGTGGATGAGTACTACTTAGGATTCCACCGTAAGTGTTTGAAGAAGGATTGTGCATTATTGAGCGAATGCGAGGATTGTGTATAATAAATAAGGTATGGAGCTTCGGTGGCAGTCGTGGCAAACGATGGAAGAGGACAACTTATGATTTCGTCGATAGTGTTTCGAGATGGGTAATTGTTGCAAAAGAGAAAGCAATGAACAATAGATGAAAACTTAGTAGACAATGAATATGTGATTGGATGTTGATGGAGAGTGCTGCTATATTGTGCTTATAAAGTAGGTTTTGGGAGTAGATACAAGGAGAAGCTCGTAATGATGGGTACACAGGGTTTGGTTATGGTTGGTTAGATGAATTTCATAATTGATTATAAACCTAGATAGTTGTTCAATTATGATTTGCCCTACCAATATTAGCCGTATGGATTGGGGTGGCTATAGGAGCATGAGGGGAAAAGTGTTTATTCATACATGATAATTAGTAAGTATGATTGAAATAATAACTTAAATTGCATTCATGGGCTGTAAGTGGTTTGCACATGGGGGATTAATGAAGTTAAAATGTTAGTTATGGGAAGCAATGAAGTTATCACTTCGTATGCATGTGTGTATTTTAATCATGGTTTAAGACTAAAAAAAAAATGCGAAAAGCTAAAGTGATAGGAAGTTAATTGGGGTGTAGTATTGGGTCTCTGATGAAAGGATAGATTAAGGGAGTTTTATGAATTAACGTTGCAATTAAAGCGCTCACATTTTATTTTGCATAAAAGATTCGTCCTTTTCCCGGCAAGCTAATGGCGAATGCTTTGATAATTGTCAATAAGGAATTACATAATAGAGTAGTATATACATGTGTTCCAAGCAGGGTGATTAATTGGGAGCATTCAGTGTTTACAGACTATCTGAATTTGATTAAGTTGTTGGTAATTAATTCCTCGTGTATTAAACATGTTTATGTGATTAATTAAAGGAAAGGAGCATGCCGGAGAATCATCAAGGCATAAGGGTTTAGCAGAGTAATCGAGTAATGAGTAAATTTTAACATAATGTTTATCTTAATGTGATTATGGTATTTCGGAAGCGGCCCGAGTACAACGTGTATGATGGTTTTGTAAGCTTTAAACCAATTGTGATTGAGTATCGATATGTGGTATGGTTACATGATTGAATGGTTGATTTAATTATCCTATGATTGGATGAGGTTACCATAGCATGGTAATTATATGATAATGTGATGATAGGATGAGATGATTGTATGATGGTATGACCAGAAGGTCATAATACATGTTGTTATATGTGTGCTAAACGATATTATGTGATGAGTATATGATATGTGAAATGTCATTTGACAAGGTCAAGTGGAAAGAATGGCAAAAAGGTTGCTTTTTTGTCAATTATACGAGATGATAAAATGGCCTATGAGTCATGCAAGTGAATGTGATATGAAATTGCCCTTGGGTCACACAAGTATTATGTTTAGTTGTGACTAACTATAAGAATTGCATGGTCACCTAAAGCAAACGTAATGGCGCCCTGTCATGCACTCATTATAAGTGAAAAGAGGCTTTAAGCCTAAGAGATAAAAGAGCTATACGAGAACTCCTTTTAAGGAGTAATGACAGGCCTGGCTACGAGTTTATGAGATATGGCACCCTGTGCCCCACGAGTTTACGAGTTCATGAGATATGACACTCTGTGCCCATGAGTTTACGAGATCTGGCACTTTGTGCCTACGAGATTACGAGTTCACGAGATCCCGGGGAGTGCATGACTTGACAAATTAAAGAATAAAAGCTACTGAATCCAGCTAACTATATGTATGCACTTGTGTGATTGGATGTTGATTCATGGGTGCTTTTGGATGCAACATGAGTACTTAAATGTCAATCTTAGTATTTGTCATATTTGTATGATATGTGATTGAGATGGCAATCTTAGTATTTGCCATATTTGATATATAGAAGGTGAACCCCCTACACGATATATGAAATATGTGAAGGTCGATGTGTTTTATATGTGATATCAAGTGACATGATGAGGTATAATTTGTGATAATCTCCTTTGACGCACACCAGTGGCAACGCCGCAACGATTTGATGCTCAGCTGGTTGGTAACCCAAAACCTGCTACAGAGCTGGCAGGGCGCATTCACGAAATCGAGAGGCAATTGTTGGCCCTTGACTTACATCCCCACGACCAACGAGCGCGCGAACGATGGAAGTTGGATTTTGACCACAATAATGGTGAAACGACGGAAACTCCAGTGTCAGAGTTGCGGGGAATTAAGCTTTCAGTGCCAACGTTCCATGGAACGAGCAATGCTACATCGTACTTGGATTGGGAGAGGAAGATTCTGTTGTTCTTCCAATGTGGTCAGTATACCAAAAATCAGAAACTCCTCATAGCAACATATGAGTTCCAAGATTACGCTGCGACGTGGTGGGAGCAGCTTCAAGTTCGGCGGCGGCGTAACTTGCAAGCTCCGGTGACGACGTGGGAGGAGTGAAGGGGATTGATGAGGGATACATATGTGTCGGCCTATTACTGGCGCGAATTACATGAAGCTCTGCAGACCATCCGTCAGGGTACGCGGACTGTTGACGAATACTCCAAGGAGCTTGAGCTGCTACTGACTAGAACTGACGTGCGAGAAGACGCAGAGGCCACCATCTCACGTTTCCTGTGCGGGCTAAACAAGGAGATCAGATATGAATCTGGAATTACGCCAGTTTACCGATTTGGAAGAGGCAATTCACCTGGCCCTCAAGATCGAGAAGCAGCTCAAACAGGGTACAAGTAGGCGTTTTTTTGCGCCAAGACCAAACAGCAGCTCTGAAATTGCTCCAACTGCTGTCCTCACTCATAATCGGCCGGTGACCGTAAAACCAAACACGCCGCAGAACCATCAGGAGCGTCCTCATGCTACGGCGTCTGCTTCCCCGGTAGCACTGACGCACGATGCGGGGAAGAGGCCGCTGGAGCCGAACGTTCCTGTAGGAGCCGCTAAACGACCCAAGGCAAGGTCTGCTCAGGTGAGGGTAGGGGACTCGCGGCAAGACCGCTCAACATTCTGACCGTCCTGATTCTATAGCTGTGCCTCCTCTTGCGGCCACCGATACTGAGGCAGCCGAGCTGGCTTTCCATACTGTGAGCGACCAGCTGGTCATGCCCTTGGAGTATACTTCAACTTCTCAAGGTTACAACAGGCGACTCGCTGGAATCGCCTCCCAGTTTTTCTTCTCGGTTAGTTTTTTCATCCTTTGGTAGTCGAGTCTCATTGTGAGGATTGGCTTGACTTACCTATGTGTGCTTTGCAGGCTCAGATTGGGTTCTCGTAGATCGTCATGGAGAATGACCGCCTGTTGAAGACCGTAGATGAGAATACGGTTGAGATTGCCAAGTTGAAGAAGAGTGTGGCTGAAGGTCGCGCGGCGTTGATAGAGGAACTGCGTTCTAAGCTGGCGCGCGACTTTGAGGAGTGCTTGGCTAAACAAGGGGAAGAGTTGGAAGCGGAGAAAGAGGCTCGTAAGGCAGTTGAGAATGAGCGGGACCATTTGCAAAGGAAGCTTCAGCAAGCCGACGAGATTGGGAAGACATTGTTGGAGGAACAGGAGTTCCTCCAGAAGGAAATAGATGCCCTCACGTTGGACAAGACCGCTCTGCAGGAGGGGCGTGAGTTGGACCTGGTCGCTGCATGGGCTGAGGCGGATCCTGCTTACCTACAGTACACGAAGTTTCAGGCGCTCGACAAAGAGAAGTACAAGAAGATTGTGGGTGACGTCGTGGCCGCGATTCGTCACTTGTTTCGTTGTGACCAACTGGATGCGGTTTGGGACACAGACAAGGTTTGGGACGCGGTTGGGGGTTGGACTGATGCCGACGTGAACTCTGAGGCGGATGAGGAAGGGGACGATGAGGTGGGTGACATGGAGGAGGGAGATCAAGGTAGTGAACGGTCACCTAGCGCTTGAGGTTTTTTACCGTTGTGGACTGTTGGGCGGTCTCGGGGAGTACTCAATGTCGTACTCACTAAGCTTGACCGCCCACTTGGTCAATCTTCCTGAGGCGTCCAAGCCTCGCATGACACTCTTGAACGGCAGATTGGTCAGCACCGTGATCGGATGCCCTTGGAAATAGGGCATTAGCTTCCTGGTTGTTGAGGCCAC